AGGGCACAGACTGACCAGGGAGGATGTGGAACCATTATTCTTGAAGATACTGGAAAGCCATCAGGACAACGGCACCAGTCTGCTCTAGGTGACCCTGCTTGAAGAGGTGTTGGCTGAACAAGATACTTCCAGAGGTACATTCCAACCTGGACTGAACTTGCATGGTAAGTGTTTGAGAAGGGTGTTGGTGTGCTACAGGGGTAGGGGTGGCTTTTGTAAGCAGCTGCTAGAAGCTTCCCCATGTCCGACACAGCCAATGCCACCAGCACCAAGCTGGACCTGCTGCTGGCTAAGGCTGAGCCACCAGTGCCAGTGGTAGTGCCTCTGGGATAACAAGTTTAAGGGGGAAGGAGCGATTGCAGCCAGAGAGGAGTGAGGAGGACATGTGAGAGGAACAGCCCTGCAGACACACAGGTCAGTGCAGTAGAAGGCAGGAGGTGCTCCAGGTGCTGGAACAGAGGTTCCCCTGGAGCCCATGGTGCAGATCATGGTGAGGCAGCTGAGCCCTGCAGCCCATAGAGGTCCATGTGGAGCAGATGAACACCTACAGCCCATGGAGGTCCATGTGGAGCAAATGCCCACCTGCAGCATGGACGGCCATGTGGAGCAGATGCCCACCTGCAGCCCATGGAGGTCCATGTGGAGCAGATGCCCACCTGCAGCCCATGGAGAAGCCCAGATTCTGTTACTACCTTAAACAGTGAGCTAATCTAAAAGAGAATCTAATGGATACTTCTACTCATCTGATACTTTTGGCATCAGGTTTCAGTATCTTTCAGTTTCCAGAGCCTGGTTTGTTTTATCAAGTGACAACTAAGACAGTTCATTAAAAGTGAATAGACCCAACAAATGTTCCATGGCCATAAATTCAGAGGAGGTATCAATTCGCACTGCACGACTTCAGTTTAGAGCACTTTTAAGAGGGTTGGGGTTTTTTCAGCCACACAAAGGAACTTTGCCTTGACTACTTAGCAGCTTTAGATATGAAAGTTTTAACAACAGAACAAATACATTCTTACATGTTGGTGGCATGGGGACTGTCTCCCTCTTGTTTTCAGAGATACTTAATAGACCCGTAGCATACATGGCCTTCAGTGAAAAGCAGACATGCTCTGATCATTTTACATACCAGATGTGTACATGAAGGAAACTTAAGGATTCCAGCATGCACAAAGCTGTGTCTACAAACTTTGCTGATACACTTCACAACTCGTTTTGGATACCAGAAAATAATTACCTTGGAATCAAACCCTGGGTTTATGGCTGTTAAATTACATGGTTTGGTTTACTATACTTTCTGTGGGCATTAAATCACTTAGCTTAAGATTTATATTACCTTTTTCTTTATGGCTAGATATTAGTAAGAAATACCTGAAACTATACACACCACACACCACACACCCCCCCCAAATATCTTTCTTGTTTCCATTCCTCAGTTTATTAAAAGTGCCTTTTCTTTGATTCAGTTCTCATTAAAAGTGCCTGCAGTTTGAATTATTAGATACTTAATTATTTGTCCCAGATAAAACATTTAAGAAGCTTTAAAACCTGGGAAATTAAGGCAATAGAGCAATAGCAAACAATTCCAGTAGAGAATCGAGGGTTCATTCACCATCCAACTTCAACTTAAAACTCTTACCTAAACTAAAGCAAACAAAATCCATGAGTCTCAAAGCCACTCTTTCTAGAAGAAAAGGCTCAAAACCTCATGAGAAACTCATTTTGTGGGCCGTTTCACATTCCATCTAAGGTTTATTCCCCTATTTATATATATCTGCTTCTAATATCAACCAGATGTGACAACGAAGTCCAAGCAGCGCTGCAAAAGATGCAAGGATATCCTGTAGATCAGCATTTTGAGAGAGGCTTGGATAAGAAAGGGAAAGGTACCTGGAGCTTAAGTGATTAACTGAGGAAATAGCTATAATCTGAGAAGCATTCTTAATGAAAAGTTCTAGTTATCAGAAAGACTGCACTGCAGGAAAATGCACAGTGCCCTGACAGAAACACCTTCTGTGGACAAACCAGGAAATCATCAGGCTCAGAGCAGAGCTGTCCCACACTCCACAGACATGAAACAAGACAAGAACTCAACATCACCGAACAGGATTGTTCTCTAGCATTTCAAGCACATAATCAATAGGAAAAGACACTGGTCTTCACTACGATTTCCAATAGCAACAGGACTGAAGAGATTCTGTTGACCCTGAACTACACACAAAATACTGTTCCTTCCAGTAAACTCACAGGCAGATTTCAGCCCTGCTGACGGAACACTGAGAAAATCTACACGTTTGTTTTTGCAACCTGTAACTATTCCTTAAACATCAACAGGTCCTCCCTGAAAGCCTCCAGCACACAAAATTCCTGTGTATTTAAGCAGGTCGCTCACTCCATCTCCACCAAACCCAAATGCTAAGGAACATGCCCAACTTTCACACTATTGCCAAATTACGAAAATTAATGTGTCACCCTTGTGTTTAGTTTTATATCTTTTACAAAATGGAGCTTGGACCTTCAATATCCAAGTTGTAGGCTGTTCTGGTTCACTGCTGAAAGGAGCCACCAGAAGAATGACTGCTGAAATCACTTGTATTTGCTGGGTGGACAAGACTATGAGCTCTTCATTGCCATGAGTAAAATCATAAGGTACATTTTGGGCAACTGTATGGCAGTATTTAGTCCTTAAAGTTTTGCATCATTTGAGCTGTAGCAAGCTTACACACTTAAAATGCTCTATTTTGGACTTACTCATCAGGATTATAACTACTAAAAAAAGAGAATAATTGACTAATAGCTTAGTAGACCAGAATCAACAGTTTGAAAATATGACAGCAGAAATAATACATCTATACTATGGAAAATTAAAATGAAGATCAGTATTATCTACACGATTTAATGCTCATTTTAACTGACTCCTCACAAATTCCACAAAATATACATCACCCGTGTATCAGTCTCCCTGATCGACTTCTGCCTCACTTCTTTTATTCCCTGTCATCACTTTCTCAGCTATGCTTTCTTCTTGAGAGGCAAGGTCAGAGCAGCTGCAGGACAGGAATGCAAGCACCGTGTCTCTTCATCAAAGTGCTTTGCCCAGAAAGCCAGAGGTGGACAAAGTAGAGCCACACACTGCTGGACTGAAGACAAGTCATAACAGAAGTGAGAAAGAACAGCCCTCAAATCTACAAGGAGAAGAAGCAAGACAGTAACACAAAAAAATAGAAAGTAACCAACTAAAACACATACTTCTATTTTTCCTCCATGTCTAAAAAAAAACCACGTGTATGTATTTTCACTAGTTCGAGTAGGTAGCAAATTTCTCATTCTTATCCCATCACTGAAAACCATACAACCAAACTGCATTTAGAACCATAACAGTTCAATTTTAGCTAAGATTTATTTACTTAAAATATACACTATATTTATATAACACTTGTATCTTCAAAAGAAAAAGCAAGTTTCTACTTACAAACACTGCTCAAGTGATCTATCTAAAGCACTACTCCACAGTAAGCAAGGCTTTGAATGAATGTCAGAGAATAAAGACAAATGTTTCGACAGCATCTATTGGGAAGCATTACAGATTACAGCATTCATATTAATCATTCTAATTTATGTGATTTTATTATAATCTTTATATTCTAAAAGCAAAATTATTACCCTTGTTAAGGACTATAATATATCATGATTACATGATCTACTCAAAAGTACATACTCTGCTATTGAAAAGCCTCAATTACTTTCACCTGGTTCCTTTGTGCAAGGTTCCTCACGACAGATGCACACAGGTTATCAAACACATGACTCTCCCTCAAACCCACAAATTACAACAAAGTTACTACCAGCCTATTGATAGACATGTTCAACACCACCATTCAGAGAAAGTTTCAACATGTTAAAGTGGAATTTGCATAAATGGATACAAGGAAACTCTGTAATTTTTATTTTTCTTAGAGCATCCCTGTTTCCTTAGACAACCCAGCTACATGAAGCAACTCTTCTATGAAATAAATGTAACTGGCATCTTTCTGAGACCAGATAAGGGCATCTGCAAGTAAGTACCAGCTTTATACTCAAGTACCAGCTTTATACTCAAGTACCAGCTTTATACTCAAGAGGAGTTTCAAGATACATAATGTCAAAAACATGAAAAAAAAACATGAGGAAACACAACCAAACCCCTCAGGCCTAGCAAAACCATGGAGCAAATGCTTTCTAGTGCATTAAAAAGCTATGACCAAGCTTGAAAGATCAAGTCTGTAAGTTTTTCAAGCAGATTTCAAGGCGACAAGACAGCTATACTTTGTAAGTATTTATATATTTTTTCATGTCCAAGAGTGTTTTTCACTTACTCGTACAGATTTTCATGAGCAAGCTTGGACAACAACAAAGCTCATTACAGAAACTCTCCAAAACTGTATCAACGTCACTCACAACAATGTTCAATTTGTCTGCTTTTAAAACATCCACAAAGAGCCTTTTCTAAAAATAGCTGATTGCAAAACTAACCTTCACCATCACCATATGTTCTGTATTTCCACAGGAAGACAAATTTACAGGACTGCCTAAATGGCTTGTTTGGTTGCATATAGAGGGATTAATTAAAGTTGTAACAACCTGTATTATGTCAACGTGAATTTCTAAATAAGACTATGCAACGTCTCTTTGTGGATGTCTAGACTATACTGGGTATGAGATGTTGACACATTTTATGGTCTCTATACCTCTACATAGAGAGTTAAAAATAATTCACCTTGAAGTCATCATGGTGAATATAAAAGGAACAGAAAAATTCGTGGTTTCTCATCCCTCTGATATTTATGCTCTACTGAATTACAGCTAGACACATGCAAACATAACACAGCATTTCAAGAGCCTTTACTATTTAGCTGTTCTAATATCACAAAGATTAAACTTCTCACCACAGTCAAAATACAAATGTGCAGATCTGCATAATAAGGAACATACAATAGGAACATAAATCAGGTTGTACTTACAATCTAGTTAACTTCTGTGTGTTCTGAAAAAGCAGCTCTGGAAGAACTTGCAATTTATTCTTGTTCAGACGCCTAAACAGTTACAATAAGAATAAAAAATAATTAGATTATCTTCCAATTTAAGAAGCTTATTCTATTACACATAAACTCATGAAGCTTCCATTATAGTAAACCTCACGGTACGAGCTCAGCACAGAATGTGCTGTGTACATTATTCCCACACGAGCCAAATGGATCATGCCATCTGTAGACCACCTGCCTATGTTCTTGAGGTAGGGAGTCAAGTGACAGTGGCCACAAAGTTGGAATGTTTTAACAGGGATGAGTACACAAATCACTTCTTTCATTTTCCTCTAGATACCTACTAACTGTGACTCGTATGGCCCCGATCGACAGCTTTCACTGCTCTGACGGACAGTTACAAAGGAGCTATCTGGAGCTGCTGTCTCCTTCTAAAGATCTAGGTTCAGTAAATGAAGTCGTTTGACCAACTGAGATCATTTTCACATTAGCTACAGGATACACGCAAGAAGAGTTTTTAATTTAAAGACTTTTTTTAAAAACTCCACCTTGAAAATACGGGCACTGCTGTAGAACACAGGAACACACAGGTAACAGAACAACTGTATGGTGATTTGGAATAGAAACTTAAAGATTATTCCAGCAACATGTCAGCGAACATTTAGAGCTTAAGGTTTATACCTTAGCCCATTTTATTCACTCACTGTGAAAACTTTTATACTGATGACCACAACTTGTGAATTTTAAGAAATCAACTGTTACAAGTTACTCCAGCCTAGAGGCTACAAAATACATACGCTTCCTCTCCTTCATAAAATGTATGACAGCCCTGCACAATCTAAAAGCACTTCTGCTTCTAAGAAACAATCTTTTTCCACAAGCCTTTTTCTGTTGTCTAATAGCAAAAAGCCACTTGCTTTCACAGACCTAATGAATGTTATTTACTTAATGAAGCTGACAAACTAATTCCTTAGAACTCCACTGTTGTAAGTAAGAAGCCAACTTCTCGCATACATTCATACCTAAGCCTGTATTTACGCCTCCTTGGTGCAAAATCTACCTTAAAAGTTAACTTTAGTAACAGATTTTTGGTACATTTTTGATCATGGAAGACACCAGGAACTTTTAGAAACCTGCTGATACTTAGCATCCAATGTCTGCTTTCCAGTTTTCTTCCACATTGAGTAATTTCACTATCACAATTCAAGAATTTTTGGAATTGAAAGACCTTCCTCAGATCAAACCAATGTTGTGGGGTTTTCATATGGCAGAGTTTTCATATGGCCACCATATGAACATGTCCTGCAAGACAAAGGGGTGATAGAAAAAAAGGGAATATAAACTTCTCTTTCTGACACCTAGAACAGATCAAAGGATGCTTTGCAAGCTTGCTTACAGAGCCTACACATTACACGTAGCACGTGCCGCACGCGAACTTAAGCAGATCCAAAAACTACTTATTTCACAGTTTCTGAGATACATGAAGAGATCAGTAAAGGAAACACTAAGCAATAACACAGGACATACTAAGTACTGGTTCACATTTGGAAAAGTATATGGGAAGATTTTAAACTGGATTCCCTTACCCATGTGAAATTTCACACTTTTATACCTAATTAATCTTGTTTAGCTTAAATTTGATAGTAAAGTGTTACTGAATCCTCATCAAATTCAGGTTTTCAGCTATGCATGTTTATATTCTAGAAAGGGATAACAGGATGAAATGCAACAAAAAAAATTATTTACGATAAAACAGGGCTTCGCACCCCTCAATTCTGTCCTCTTTCAGCAAGACTCCCACTAGTTCTTGAGAAACACTAAATTCGTTCAACTTCTTCATTGGTCAGAAGAAAAAAGTCTGCCAGTGAAATGCATCTATTCCACATAGTTGCCTAATGTTCATTACTGATTGTCATCTCCACTCTCACAGTGTACATGTAAATATGCACTGTGAATCCAAAATAATCTGACTTATCTCAAAGCAATGTCCAAGAGTATTCTCATCTCTGCTTGCAAGGATTGCACAAATGCTGAGTTTATGCTTATTGCTCTAAGCCACTGAAATAAGCAAAATCAGGTTAAGTTTCTAGAATAGGAAGTTCCACCAACAAGCAGCCAAGAAAATGTACATAGTTAACAAAAAATGTATTTTCAAGGTTAGGAAGCTTGCAACCTGAGAAGTCACCATTTTGCAGTGACACAAACTTCTTAGAGAGAAAATAAAAAGCTAACATTTTTTTTTCCCTTAACTTACTATCAAATTAATCCAGAAGATCAATATTTTAAATTATTATCACCTATTATTTGCATGTGCTAACACTGCCCTACCTGTCATGCCTAAAGGACCGTGTTCCCAGCTGCCCTTTTAAATTGCCCTAAGCATTTTAAGATCTCATTCTGACATCACTTGAGCACTGATTTTCTTTCAAACACCACATGAAATGATGCTTTTGAAAGGCTCATACACCACCCACCCAGGACTTGTAGCACACTACACCTTAAAACTGCCTGTCCTCTTCTCCCATGTTAAACACGCACCCACCATGCAATCAGCATGTGTGCATGCACACGTGTGCACACACAGCACCAAACCACCACCACCCTAGCACTGAGCTACACCCAGAGGAAGGAATCTGGGGCACTGAGCCAGACAATATCTGGTCCAGGTTATTTGACCTGGGACTGCTGGATGTGAATGCAGCTGTTCAGTGTCTGCAGTGTTTTGAACTGGATGTTTTACAGCTAATAAGACCTGCAAAGTATTCCGGGAATTCGGAGCGCTGGGCAGAATGATGCATAATCATTTAATGCCACAGAACAGATGAGTTCCAGTGCTGGATCCCAAGCAGCTCTGGACCTGCACAGCATGGAGTCCAGACTAATAAAATCTCCTGGAAGCTGAAGAACTGTGCAGAGAGGCTCTCCAGGAGTCATATCAACTCTGGCAATACCTGCCTTGAGTCAAGCTTATTAAGTCTGATTAGACAGATGCTGACTGTAAGGTCAACAATCCCCATAACACTGCAACTCCCTCCATCTGCCAGCTTATTTTAACCACAACTATGCACAGGAAATAGAACTTTATACATTCTGTTCATTAGTCTTCTCCTCAAGTCCCTGTGACCCATAAAACCTGACCAAGCACCAGAAGAGTTCTGAAGACATAAGCAATGGTGTTCCAGGAGTCCATATGTCACCTCCAAGGCTTCCATGTAAGACCACCACACTAGCACAGTGTCCTCTCGCTAGGCTCAAATGTATATTCACCTATGCTTCTGTTGGAAGATGTTTAGGAAGCTGGAAATGGTAAAGGCTAAAAACCTGTATTTCTGTATGCAGGGACTCACTACAGCAGTGAACTACTGTTTCTTCTGAAATTATTATATATCACTGACACACTTCTAGTAACTAAGATTGCTTAGTAAATTGAAAATTTCAGCCTAGGGTATCAACATATCTAGTTTAATAATGCTGGGATAGAATATGGCTTCATCCTCCTACAATCTCTCATACAGAACCAAGCATATAAGAGGTTCAACTCTTCTAATCACCTTACACATGAACATAGAGTAGGAGCACTTCCATTGAATGTTGAACATTATTATATATAAATATTCATAACACTAGACATATATATGCAAAATATCTCTACCCACCATAATAGTTATGAATGATAGCTTTATGTAACAGAACTTCAGACTTACAAGATGTACCCATGAGTTTTTAATGAGAGTAACTCCTTCCTTCAATGCTGCAGACAGCAAGACATGTCAGCGTTATTTTGCAAGATATATAGCCCAGGTAACTTGTTGACTAATAAAGACTAATTTGTTGACTGATATGGTTATTGCATGACATTATTTCCAAGGAGAATATAAAGATAAATAGACATTAAAAAAGAAGAAATACTAGGCTACACCTCAAAAGGATCTTAATCATAATGTTCAGAGAAGGATGAGAACAATGATCAGAGTTACAGAGCAACCTCATGTTGGAACAGCTTAGTAGACTTCCCACTGGGAAAACAGCTGAGGGCGAATATGCTAAAGGTCTGTATGATTATGCAGCAAGGGAAGGTGATAAGAAACAGTTGTTCTCATCTTTTGCAATACAATAGAAAGCTGGGAACTATCAAATGAGAAAGCTTGGAAGTATCAAATGGTGGTGGTGGTAGCTTCAAAAAACAAATGGAATTAATTTTCCCACACAACATACTGTTCAATTGTGTACCAACTGATTGCTTATCATCGGTTACTAGTTTGTGTGGGTAAAGAAGACAAACAATTAAGAACATTAAGTAATATTAATTAAAAAGGCCCAGTTAAGGATTCAAGTGATCTCTGCCACAATATAATTTATATATTTGCTTTTTCTTCATTTGTTCTTCTTTAATGAGTTTCAACTGGAGACATAGTACTGGCCTACTCATATTTTGGGTCTGAGCTCACATGGCCATTATCTTCTGGCTTTTGGCACCTGGGTTTCTTTTCTTCTGTTGAGTTCATCAGAAAAGAATTTAAACTCAGTACTAAAAAATTTAATTCATACTAAACAATAGAAATTGAGATTTTAAGCCTCTATTCAAAGCATTTCTGCAAAGCCTCTTAGATTATGAAGCTTGCCTGCTGCAAAAATTTAGCATGCTCCCGAAAGAAGGCTTAAAATGACCATCAGTGGTCATTGAACACCAAGGAGCAAAGAAAAAGATTCCTCATTACAGTGACAACCAAAAACAGGTAGATGTGTGTATAGGCATATCTATGCATGTCTGTATATCTATGTATACATCTCTATGAAGATTACTTTCTTCTCATTTTATTTTAGCCAAAGCCCTCATGTCCCAACTCTGACACCCTCACATACCCCCAAGCAAGCTGCTCTTCTCCTATATTTGAAGCTGACTTTAATTTCTTATTAAATACATAAATACCTATACCACACAGCTGCATCATGTTACACACTGCATTTCCTTGCTTTTTGATTCTGATGGCCTAAAACACAGATTTACAGAATTTGTGACCTTTCAAAGTCACACATATACAAGCAACGTT